CCCCAAAACCCCAAAACCCCGTGTGTGTATATAATGGAAAATTTTGATTAAAAAAAAACATTATTAGTGATAACTATAATTTACAATATAAAAAATAACCTAACCTATTGAGGATATCAAGGAAAAATGCAAAATAATTACAGAATGAGAGCAGATGTCACTGAATAAGAAAGAGATGAGAGAGACCATAATTATTGACTGTAAATCAATCTCTCAACTAGTGAGTAGGATTTCAAAAATTACATGAAGGATAAGCTTTTAGAAAGAAAATTAATTATAGCCTTAGATTGCAGTGAAAATATGATAGTCCACAATGCTCTCAAGATAATAAAAAAAGACCTTAAAGATTTTTGCAAGAAAATGGAAAGCTAGGTTTGAAAAGGCTTCTTTCAAGAGTTTATCATTTATCCCTTCAATCAAGCTTCTAATTATTTTGCAGCAACTGGAGAGGATGTGTAGAATGGAATGTTTGGAGAATTTATAAACTTAATAGATGTTTATGTTGCAACAAATAATTTAGTCAACTATGATTTGCCAATGAATTTTATAATAGACAACTTAAAGACTACCACTGAGCTCCATGTGATAATGATGACAGCAGCTCCTAAATATGTACCAATAGTATAAAAATTTAAGGACTAATTTAGCAGACAATTAAACGAAAGTGAATCGATATGCAAAATTTAAACTGTGGGAGTTTATCAATATTCCAACAAATAATTGCTTGAGGATCTATCCTTGATGGGGAATATGACAGGAAGTTTTATTCAATGGGAATATCAAGATCAAGAAATGCTTCAATATTTCTCTCAAAGTTTTTTTGATCAACTAGATTTAACCATTGCCAACTAACAGGGAGTTTTATATAGTATCAATGAAGATATTCATTTTGTAGAAAAATTAAGTGATGTTAAAAATGGTAGAGTATTTTTCGATAAGATCTAATTAGATGTAAGAAAAAAAGTGGACATATAGAAATACCTATAGTAATACTTAAAAGTAAAGTATTTCTAAGCAGATATTAATATCATAAGCAATACCAGTAGTCAAAGTAGCATTGATCTGAATAGTTAGAGATATCCAACTAATCCTCAGTCAATAGCTATCAAATCTAGAAAGGAGGAAAGAAAGTAGCAAATTCTAAACTTTGAGCCAGAGCCATTCAATTCTGAAAGCTCATTTCAGGACAAAAAGGAATTTGGTTCATCATATTCAGATCAAATTGCTAATAAATGTGTCAAGAAAGCTTAAGAGTTAACGCTATTTGAAAAAGGATTCTAATGTTCTCTTCTAAGCTAGCTCAAGGAACTAGAAACTTTAAAGCAAGAATAACAGACTTCATTTGCCAAAGATAAGCGAGAAGATGATTTATATAGCATTTTAGATATAGAAAACTCTTAAAGAGATCTAATGAAAATGAAGAAAATACATGAATAAGTTACTAGGCATACATAGACACCTGAATCAGGAGTCATAGCATTATAGAAGATCTAGAAGAGGCTTTAGACTAGGGGGAAATTAAGAGAAGATGAAATGAGAGTGGCAAAAACATCTGATGTTAAGAAGTCTGCTTACTATCTTAAATGCAAGTTGATTGATCAGAATTAAATGACCATCCAAGTTAGGTCAATTAAGCCAGCTAATTTAAAGATGAAAGAGATCATTAAAGAATTTAGGAAGATGTGTACAGCAAAGAATATCCAACTTTAGGAGACTAAATCTAAGATTAACTATCAAGGATTGCAAATTGAGCAGTCTTTGTTAAGCCTCATTAAAGGAACTAAAGTAGATAATGATGGAATAGAAGAATATGAAAAAGAAGAAAATGATATAATGATGAAAAGAGATATGTAAATTGATCAAATAGTAGATAACCTAATACAATTAAAGAATAGAGGAATCCATACTTTTAGATATATCACGAAAGCTAAGAAGCAATTCAAAGTGCTTGATTCAGCTGTTTAACTGTTTGATGAGATTTTCAAAGATGAATTATTAAAGGAGAAGTAAGAATAAATGAAGGAAGGCGATATAGATCTATCAGATTCAAGAGCGAAACAAAATTTGCTCAATGTCAGAACTTACATTTTTTATAACAATTGAGCTGGATAAAGATTACTAGATATAAAATAAATATGAGAAAGGTAAATTGATTTTTGATTTTGATTAATACTGCCTTTTAATACAATAAATCTGGAAAATGGATAATTATCTGATTTATAACGATTTAACTTTATTTCATATTTTGCTTCATGGGGTTTTGGGGTTTTGGGGAGATCGGAAGAGCGTCGTGTAGGG